GAGGGGAAGGGATTTTATTAAGCTAAGAGTGAGGGGAAGGGATTATTGGAGGACTTCTAAGGATAGGCAAATACCCCTGAAATTTGCTGATTGATTTGTCAAGAATTGAGTCTATACCATCTTAGGGAAGGAATAAGATCCATCTTCTTAGTAAAAGATTAGAATCATGGATTTTGTAGCTTTAAAAAATGTAGTTCAAGGACTTAGCTGCTGCATGCTGTGTTCTTTGTACACGTATCAGCAGTGGTACACTTAAGCAGCACCAAGGGGAGCCTGGAGAACTGTTTCTAAATAGTAGGATTGTCAGCATTATTCACAAATCAAAAAGCTTTAAAATAGTGCTTCTTGGTTTAAAGGCCTAATTATATTTCTGTTGATTCCATAAAGAGCAACATTTTTAGGCATATCTCCAAAAGACTCCTCTAGGTCCATTGTTTTGTCTGTATATGATACACAAAGATAAAACATTTGCCAACAAGGTATGGCTGGGTTAGCTTCCTGGGTTATGGACTCTCTAAGTAGTGACCTTCTTCAGTCTCCATCACTCCAGGACACTTAGGCCCATTCTCTGACCTCAAGAGCACAAAGAACTAACTACAGAGTTAAGAGGGACCACAAACAATAGCTGAGGAGGAGGACACTGACATAGCACTTTAAAGTTTGCAAAACACCTTACATTTATTATCTCATTTGAGGCTCACAACAACCCAGAAATGCTATTATTATCCTTTTTGACAGATAACTGAGGCCGAGAGGTTCAGTGCCTTGTGCAGCTTCACACTGTGGGTATCTGAAGCAGGATTCAAACACAGGTCTTCCTGACTCTATCTACTACAAAATACACTGTGGAATACATGTGGCATTGACACAAATCACCTTCATAATACTTTTTTAATTTTAAAAAAGTAATTTGTTTCAATTCTTATGGGTCAAAGAATACAAATTTTAAAACTAATGAAATAAGTCAATCAGTACCTAACTCTCCAATATATAGTTCTACTGTTGGCAATAAATTCAATTTTAGGCAACCATAAAATAATACTGTGAGGATCGAGTAATTATGATTAATTAACCCCTTTAAAGTCTATTGATAATAATCCAATAACCTTTTCAGAGTATACAAGTCTTTTTTTCCCCACATAACAAAAAGTAATATGAAAAATATCAAGAAAATATATGATCAAAAAAGGTGGATCATTCATGTAACCAGAATGAGGGTTAACCAGCCAGACTGCCTGACTCAAGTTGCTCTGTTATTCCCAAATTGGAAAAGAACCAGAGGAAGGCCACCAGCACATTGGGTAGATCCTCTAGGGAAGACATATAGAAAGGCATGGAAAAGAACTGCAAAGAACTGGTTGAAGGAAGCATGGGGCAGATATCATAAATGCACTCAAGTCCTGAAACAAGATGCAAGTCGTGGGAGAGTTCATCATTTGTTTCAGTTCAATCAAGTCTGGCTGGTATCGTTAGAACTGGATTTATTTTATTAATGGTGGTTTATCCTATTTCTCCCACACTTGCTTATTTCCTTCTGTGTGCACCACTTCCTGCACAAAGGTGCTTTGGACCACTGGGAGATCATGATCTTAGTGCTGTTTTGGACTCTGTACTCTCTTCCCCCCTCATATCTCTAGCTGCTGCCAGATATTACAAGAGTTTGGGTTTTCTTATCACCTGCCAATCACTTTAACTCTCAATGCTTAAAGAGTTCTTTGTCTATTTCCAATCACCCTCCCATTTCAATTCATTCAAAAATGCCGCCACCAATATTTCCTCTGAGTCAGGGCACTCTTCTCTTTGATTCCCCTCACTTTCTATATACTAAACTAAAATTTTCTGTTTGAAGATTATAATTTATAATTTTAGATATAGAATTAGATTTATAATTACTATCCCTCCTTTTCTTCAGGACTAAATTCTTCCATGCTTTTTACATTCTCCATATTCCCTTAAAAGTCCCTGAAACAACCTCAAATGAAATAAGCCTGGTGATCTTTCCTGTAGCAGTTCAATTAATACACACCTGTTTGCTATATATTTCTTCAGTCTTTTGTCTAGTACTGTAGGTTCCAGTAATATGGTAGATAATGGACACAAACAATAGTCCTACACAGTATCCTGCTTGTAGTGCTTGCTATTGGTGTGACTTGGGGACAAGTCACTTAACCTCTCTGAGTCAGTTTATTCATCTGTAGAATGGAGCAGTTGGCCTAGCTTACATTGAGGACCTTTCCAGCTCTGTATCTATGATCATTCCTCAATTTATGAGCTATCCCTGCTGACTTGTCTTAGTGACATCTTGTATTCTGCCACATTCCAAGCACCAGAGTGGCCATGGTGGTTGGGGGGATGGGGGTTTGTCTTTTGTCTGGACCTGTGATTTTATCTCACTGCACTGAAAGGCAAGATGGTAGTGGAGAAAGAGCTGACCTCAGAACCTGGAAAACCTGAGTTCAAGTCTAGTCTCTATCACATACTATCTGTGTGACCCTGGGCAAGTCATTTACCTTGTCACTGTCCCAGCAGCAGTTTCTAATCTGATGGAGTCTTTTCAAAAGGAATGTCCCTACACAGAAGAAATTGTAGGAGACATAATTTCTAAAAATTAACTATCCAAAAGCTTTTGAGGCTCTCATTTAATTAAAATTATTTCTTGCCTTCCAATTAAAATTATGACCTTGGATCTGACATAGCCTCACAATACCATGACATGAGGAGAAAGCTCAGGATCCAGATTTCAAGGACTTCTGAAACAATAATAATTCAAGAAAACAACCACAGACAGGTTAGAAATGAGACAGGAAAAGTAATCAGCAGGAGCTTAGCCATAAGGGGCCATACTGGAGACGAATCAGGAAAAAGAAGTTTGTATCAATATCACACAACACAATCTATTATTGGGTGTCACACTGTGTACTTACTATGAAAATTATATGACAAACTGGCTTCCCAATTAAAAAAGACAAACTAGATAAAATAATAATATGGGGAAATTCTAAACTCCTTCATGAATTAGTCTTTAAAAGATGGTCATTCTAAAAGACCCAATCAAATGTAAAGGGCCTATGGTTTCAGTGATGTGGGTACTAATGCAGAACATCACCCCTGCAGACCTCAGTAGACTGATTTTAATAAACTTTTTCACCAAAGTTTTCACCAAGGTGTTAACTTTCTTGTGATGAGTTTTTGCTCACTAATCAGGTGGGTCATCAGATGACAGACAAGGGGTCCATGCTCTACGTTTTATCTAGCCTGCTAGTACCTACGAAAACTTGAACTCTGCTGGCATAGATTTCAAGACCAGGGTCACTTCCACATGATGATGAGGCATCAAAATAGGACTTGGTGGAAGTCTACGCACAATATAAAAGATAATCTCCTCAAGGAAAAATGGTGACTCTTTTTCCAAGTATGAAATGGGTGTCTTGATCAAGGCTCTACCAGCTGAGGATTAAGTGAACCCAATTAACCTAATTTCTACTTGTCCATACTAAGTGGTTTATTTTAGATGTTACATTATCCCACAAAATCCTTTAGGGTGCAACATAGAAAACCATAAACAGGCTGTAAAGGTTATGACATTAATTTTGCTGTCATTCTCATGCCTTAAGTAGCCATCAAAAACTAAAAATCATGTCCTCTGGGAAAGACAGCAAATCTGAAACTAATTATGGTTCTTATTATCGTAACACTATTAAATTAAACACTATGACCCTAGCTGAATTTATTTTGGTACCTTTTGTTAATGAACAAAGCTTCTCAAATAAGATGACTGCACCTTCAAATACAGAGAAAAACAATTCACTAGACTACTAGAACAAAAGCAGTCACTCCTAAACCTAAATTTTCAGTCATCTAAAGCTTAACTGGAAAATTGAACATCATCATAAGCACACGAAGAAGCACTTTGCATTTGCTGCGGTACTGGCTACGTAGCTTTGGTTAAGAAGTGAGTGGGCAGAGAAAAACGAAGCTGAGAGACTTCAGTAGCTACTAGGCCTAGAGCTTTCACTTTTTAGGAAAACCTTCTGACTTGGTTCCTCAAGTTAAGGATCAGTTAATTCAAATGCTCAGATAAATTTCTCTCCTGCTTAATTCTATGGAAAGGAATGATCATTTACATTATTTATTGACTCTTAAGAAAAATAAAAGCATTTCCTTGGTTTCGTTCTCAGATTCAACTTTTCAAGATTGAAACTGCTTTAGGTGTTTGGATGATAAAATGGCTGAATGATTTCCTGCTGGCAGAATTTCCTCCCTAGTCAGCAACACCTGGCCCGAAAGCTCACTGATCTCGCACACAAGGAGCCTTTACATGTGTGTGCACATGCATATGCACACATTCTGGTGCACTGGAAACTGGACAGAAGGATGAAAAGTGCACACACACTTAGTCTGGCTTCGTTATTTTTCTTACAGGTGTCATTGGGTAAGGAGGGACTGATGGAAAACAATGAGGTGGGAAAGAATATATATAACTGGTGGAGAAGAAAAAAATAAGTAGAGAACAGAAAAGGAGAGAGAAGAAAAAGGAGGGCAGGAAAGAACAGTAAAAATGATGTTTGAATAATATGGTGTCCATAAAAAAAGTAGAATTATCACCCGCAAAAACCCACTTGACAAGACATACGCCAATCTATTCAGCACGCAAAACCATTAAAAGAATTGGATTTTTTACATGTACTTCAAAGAAAAAAAAAGATAGTGCTTACTGCACTGCAGGTCTCCAACAATTTGCCCCAGTTAAAAAGCTAGGATGCATCAGAGGTAACGCTTGAACCCAAGTGCAAATATAAATGATTTTGATGTGCTATCTTTTTATACCAGTTCATCCACAAAATTAAGACTTCACCAACTCAACTACTCTGGTTTAAATAAAATTTTCATTTATTCAAGTTTAAATGTTTTAGATTAAAAATAGTCCTGCTCCTTCAATTCCAATTTGGGGCTTTCTACTTATCAAAGATTATCCGCAGGCATCAGGTCAGTCAACATACCTGCGAGGGCTTTCCTCTGCCAGGAGTGTGTGAAGAAGCACTGAAGAAAAGAATACAGAAGAAGGCAGTGTGCACACACAATCACTCGTGGTCTTCTCGCAGCACACTGTCAGAAACAAGAGAATGGTACCCCAACATGTCAGGGAGATACAGTGAATGGGATCCACTAACATTACCAAAAAGTGGACAAGCCCTGCTCTACCTACCTCATCAACAGCCGCTTTAGGCCACGGAGTTCTGAAAGACAAAGAAAGGTTCCCTTAGACCCCAGACTATCAACACAATCTTGAAGAAGATGAATTGATTTGTCTCCCTCGGCTTCCCTTAACCCTTAACAACCTTTCAAGTAGGCATATCAGAGAAGCAGGAGATGGCGTAGGAACACCAGCTTTGTTCACAAAGATATGCTGACATAAGTCTCTCAGAGTGTCCAGGGCTAGGGAAAAGTATCCCAGTTAATGTTGTCCTATCTTTCTATCTCTGGGAAATTCTGTACCAGAGGAACCTCTCCGAGGCTGAAATAGGTTCAGACCCCAAGGCAAGGGTTTGAGTCTGTTCTAGGGCAGCCTAAGGGATCAAAAGGACTTCCCTGAGTGCATTTCTAACATCAAATCAGGGAAGTCTACCCTAGTCAGCTGTCTAGGAATGATCCATCACAAGGCTGTGGCTTTATGGGATTATGTCCTATGAGAACTGACCCTGTGTAAGACTGAGTTTTTGAATCAACACCATTTTTAAGGGCCTACTGGAACAGGTTGTGCTAATTCTAAAATACCAGGTCTACAATAACCACTGGAGGGATACAAAGGTTAGGTAAGAGAGGGTCCCAGTTTGCAGAGAGCTAATAATCTAGCATGGGTATTAGTCATACACAGATAATCCTTTGGAAACAAAAGGATAAGAAAGAAGCCTTAGTAAAAGAATGATTGAAGGTGCAGAAGAACTGAGTTGAAGCTGAACTATTCATAAGTATGGGAGGAAGTATGGAAGGTCAAGGTCGCTATAATATTCGGATTTGGGGGATTCAAAATCCTTACAGATATTAAACATTTCTTTTAACTTCATGCCCTCTTAATTAGCATACAGCATGAAACCTGAAGCTAAAATACCAATGGAAAATCTTGAGGAAAACCCATTTTCTCATTTCAGTATATAATCTGAGATACTGACGTTACAAAATCAATAATTTTGGAATTAATTTTTTATTTCTTTTTATTGATTTTTATGTTGGGGTAGTAAGCATTGAATTAATTGATCTTTGCTTCCTGGATGACACTTGAAAGCACAAGGCAACACTTCCCTTTCAGACAGGTAGACTTTTTAGACTTTCATGCTAAGACTTCACTGAGTTCATATATGTCTGTGTACGTATATGTACACGTACACACATATATACATATGTATGTGTATATATACAAATAGATCCTAAAAAGGGGGTGGGTAACAATTTCTATCTAACCAAATAAACAAATTTTTTTTTAAAGCCCTCTCTAGTTTGAGTTCACTTTCTACTAAAAAATACAAGTATCTTTATTTCTCAGGTTCCAAGTAAAGAACTATTCATTGATCCCTCTTCAACTTCAGTTGTCCGTCCCCCCCCTCCAAGTTTTAGTTTCAGGATGGCCATCATAGTCAGCAAAAAAAATCTTGTAGTACACCTGGAATAGATATTTTGATGCCAATGTGCCACCAACCAAGTAATATCCATCAATGACAATAGGGTACTTGCATTGGTGAAGGGGCATTTTTAAATGTTTTTTTAAAAAAGGGGTTGAAATCCCTCCCTCCTCATTCTCCAACTGATATTTTCACATTCACAATAAATTCAAATAGGTAACAAAAACAGGTATCATAGCTTAAGAGCAGATTGTAAAAATGGGTTCAGTATATTCTTCATGTAGGCTTAAATATCACAAAAAACAGGTGTTCTCAGGCTTCGGTGAGAAATTTTCCAGTGTTAACCTGAACCCTAAGTAAGGATTATGTATTCACCCTCCAAAAAAATCTACATGCTACTAATTGACAAAGTAGCATTAAGAAGGAAAATACTATTTGCTTTAAACTACTTGGTATCCAATAATTTTGGAGAACAATCTGGAATTATGCCCAAAGAGTTATAAAAACTGCATATACCCTTTGAGCCAGCAATACCACTATTGGGCCTATTTCCCAAGATGACTAGGGAAAAAGGAAAAAAAAAACTTATATGTTCTAATATATTTATAGCAGCTCTCTTTGTGGTGGCAAAAAATTGGAAACTGAAGGGATGCCCATCAACTGGGGAATGAATAAACAAGCTGTGGTATATGACTGTGATGAAATACTGCTGTGCTGTAAGAAATGATGAGCTGGTTAATTTTAGAAAAACATACAAAGACTTGCATGAAATAATCATGAAATAATGAAAAGTGAAATCAGTAGAACTAAGGGAAGGTTGTATACAGTAACAGCAATAGTGTTCTAAGAATAATTGTGAACAACCACGTTATTCTGAGTATTATAAATACTCAAATCAACTATAAAGGACTTATGGAGGAAGATGCTTTCCACTTCCAGAAAAGGCTCTGATAAATAGAAGTACGCAAAGTATGGTTTTACATGTATTTATAAAACTGCATCAAATGGTGGCCTTCTCTAGTGTTGGGTGGGGAGAGAGGGAGGGAGACAGTTCAAAATTTAAAACCTAACAAAAAAAAATTAAATTAAGAAAAAATAATCTGGTATGACAAACTAAAATATATTTTCTATCAGTACAAACAGCAAAACCATACAGCATTTTGAATCCTTCACAAATCTGGCATTACTGCACACCCCCAAAATATGTGTGAAACAACACCACAAGTAGCTTCTGATTAGTATAATAGGATAATTTGTTATAATATTAAGCACATGGTGATTGAAAGTTCTGCTTATTAAGTGATTACTTTAGAAACTTATTTTTTAGAATCATCCTAAGCAAATGGAAGCACCCAAAAAGGCCTACTTAGCAAAAAAAAAAACATTCCTTGGGATCTTGGTCACAGATTCAGAGATCTGATTGCTAAAACTGAAGAGACTATGAGAACTTTCAAGGATGGAATCTTTTTTTCAAGTCTCATATTTCTTCAGTGAGGAGCACACCGTCTATACAATTACAATTATAGCATGGCATTCCCTCCGAAAGAAGCCCCACTGTGAATGAGCAGGGCCTTAGCCTTAAGAGTCCAATATTGTTGTGAAGAAGATTGTGGATTGTTCTTCCTAAATAAAACCCTAAAATTTAAACTATTTACATTTTAATAGAAAAATGTAAATATTTAAGAAAATTAAAATAATTAAGTGATGCCATGTCTCCTGAATTTATTTACTGTTGTAGCTTTTTTTGTAGTTAAAACTGTAGTTAATGTAAAATTTTGTAGCTTATTTTTGAAAAAATAATTTTTTAAAAACTACAAGATCTTTCACCGACTAAAATTCTTTTAGTCGGTGAAAGTTTTCATAGTTTTTAGCATTTTTTAAAAATACAGTTGTAGTCAACGTATATTATTCCACCTACTGTTCTCTGCACCATGGACTATACAATTTTCAAAGTTGTGGATTTCTCAGATGGTATATATCCTTCTCCATAAGGATGCTTCTGTGCGGAAACTTACATTGTGATAATTCTTGAGAAAAACCCAGTTCTTAATATTCCATGATGCATACAGCAAGTCCTTAGGCATGGCTACCCTTGGATCATCTGCTAGGGCAGAACTGCTTCTATTAACTAACTTGCATTCTAGTTTCAAAAGTATTTATATGCCAACGAAAACTAAGTTTAAATGTACAGTCTGCCAATGTAGGAGTGACACTTCAAAAACAAAACAAAATATTTTCTGGCTACAAGGATATCAAATTAAAGTAATACACTTTCTCATATGAGATCCTATCTGTTGATATTCATTTAAATGCTATGTCGATCTCTTCTAAGTTCCCTCAAGCTTAGAATTCTTATTTTTAACAAACTCTAGAAATCAATGGCTTTTATAAATGTAAGCCATTTGCCCAGTCTTTGAAAGACAAAGCATAAAGCACTAACAATATGCAAGATATCTCTTCCTTAATTCAATCAAGTCACAAGTCCAAATGAGTGGTTTCATTTTCCAAGAATATTTCTAAAATAGGGCCTTTCTAGTTCTAAAATGCTCAGATCTAATTTAATTAAATAAGGAGGTTCTTTATTGTCATCAGCCTAAATATAAAGTCAACACCCAATCAATAGTCCCTCAGAAATAACTTGGAATGCCAATTTAGAGTAAGAACTTTTACTTGGTATTCCAGTTGAACAAAATGCAAGTCAAGAATGCTATACCAGTTTCAGGTCTTGGCTGGATAAGGAAAGAAAAAGTGCTCATACTGAATTCAGGTCAGGTAGTCTCTGAATCCAGATTACTTGCTACAAAACCATTTTGGAGTTAAGGAGAACACATCAACCATATATCCATTCTCATTATTTTTTTCATAGTAAGGTAACCTGTGATGAATAACAGATGATCCCCATTACAGTAGGACTCATGCACATTCTAAAAAAGGCATGACAGTATGCAGATCAGAGTGAAAGGGGCTCTACGAATGAAATTCCACCTTCCAACTCGCTATGCATCGATAAGTATTTTTGATACCAAACTTGCCTGAGATCATATTGTCTCTGACTACCTATCAGTTATTAGGTAACAGCTCTATTTAAGATATATAGATAGATAGATAGACAGATAAACAGATAGATATTGATAAAGGGTATCTATTAAGTACTATGTGCCAGGCACTTAATATGTGGATGCCTTTATGAAAAAGACCTTTACACTTCATTGGTATAAAATAAATGCCTCTACATTACTTGACGCTTATAATTTAGTTTGCAAAGAAAATGTCAGGATGACTTTTAACTGCAGACCTTCTACTGTACATTAATTTGTGACCTAAAGGCTATTTAAAGTCTTGGTTATCCCACTGCCATGTCCAGGGCCATGTCCAGTCCTCCTGATCTATATCTTGCTACTGGCCCAGATGGTTCCAGAGGAGAAAGTGAGGCTGGTGACTCTGTACAGCCCTCCCTCACTTAAATCCAATTCACTTGTAAGTCCTTGCATCACCTTCCTGATGTCATGGTCCTCTTTAAGAATGAAGGACAAACAATATACCAGTCCTACAGAATGCTATAAAGTTTTGAGCCAAAGTACCTTCTTAGGCTGAATTCTAAAAGATCATCTTAACTATTC